AGGAGGGAGTCCCTCCCTCTAAAACCACTCTGTGTGGGGAAGATGAGAGCCAGAGCAAAGGTCAGAGGTGAGGTCACCATCTCTAACTGTCCACAGCCCTTTTCACACAGCGTTCACTATATCAGGCCAGAACAGACGTGGTGATGAAGCTGCTGCTGCTCCTCTTTGCTGATTCAGTTTTAATCATCATGTTTCTGTCAGGATCCATCAGAGACTCAAACCAGAACCAGAACCAGAACCCAGCTGTGTCTCCTTTAAGAGTGACAGGTCAAGGGATCGTCCCATGGACTTTAAATCTCCTGGATCTCCACCATCAGAGAGGTGAGATGTTTCTAACTGCTGTAACTTCTGTTTATATCTGTTATTGTGGCCCTGTGATGATACCAAGTTCTCTTGGGTTTTATATTATATTTGATATTTGCCTCTTTCTCTAAAACCTGACAAAAGACAAATTCATTCTGAAATAAAACATTTTCTATGAATTATTTTTATGATTCCACCTCTGAAGTTCAAACATCATCCAACATGGCAGATTATCAACCATTTCTACAGTTAAACTAAATATTTAGTGGATCTGATTGAGCAGTGGGCTTCAGTGTCTCTAATGGACCATCTGGTTCTGATTGAAGCTCCATCAGATCCTCCTTGGATGGTCAGAGTAGAAAGGACTCCTGGTTCTGCTCCATGTCAGAACTCAACACTAAGATCACCAAACTTCTCTCAGTCATTTCAAACCAACCTGTTGGTCTCAGAAACTGATCTTTCTGCTCTTTAAAGAAGGCTGGACATTATTCAGGAGGATCAATGATCAGGAACATATTGGAGGATTGGACCGGTTCTGATGGGAATCATTAGAACATCAGGTTGATGATCTGTCTGGTTCTGGTTTTGATTTTGTTTTATTTTACAATCACATAAAAATTATCTTGAAAGCAAACAACAGAGAGATTTTCTTTCAGGATCCATCAGAGATTCAAACCAGAATCAGAACCAGAACCCAGCTGTGTGTCCTTTAAGAGTGACAAGTTGTTATGTTTTTAGATAAATACAAATATAAATATTCAAGATTCGGAGACTATACAAGTTGATAAACCTTTGCCCTGGGATCTGTGTTTCTTTTCTTTGAAGCAATGAGTTTGTCACTTGGAGACGGATGGCCAGGGTGGCACTTAGCCTAGTAGGAAGAATGGGTTGTTTGCATACAACCCAGAGTCTCGGGAACTGAACTTTACGACCCCAGAGGGGGACGGAACTGAACCAGAGAATCCCGGGAACAGAGCAAATGCTTGCAGTTACTATTGCCCTGACAGGAGGACAAGGGACCACAGGTGCCAACCAGGAGGAAAGAGTTGACACCTAGCAGGAGAGTGGATCAAAGGCTAGATGTCCCAAGAAACTCTAGTTTTATGGTCCAGAAAGACAACAAACAACTGTGACCTCGGGAGATGCAAAGACGGTACCTTGAGAATGTGTATGTGTTTGCCACTCCTTCTATGCAAATGTTTGTAATTAAGCTACGCCTCAATGAAATAAAATATGCAGTTGCAGAGAAGCACGTTAGAACTGGTCCAGAGACAGAGACAAAGGAATGTCTCTGGGCAGAGTTCTCCGTTCAATTGGAAGATTGCATAAGGAAATTTAACCGTCTCCCTCTGTCCTTATTAAAGACCAGCAAGAGTGCTGGGTAATAGATCCAACACATGTCAAATTTAAAGATTATTTAAAGATAATTTCATTACCTTTAAATCTCCTGGATCTCCACCATCAGAGAGGTGAGCTGTATCTAATTGCTGTAACTGTGGAAACTGAACCAGTAAGAACTCAGATGTTTCCAGTTATATTTCCAGAGGTTTGATCCATTATCTACAGAAATCAGCTGCTCTGTTCTCATGAAAACACCTTCATATCTTTATCTCTGGATGTTGATGATGATGTTCTGTTGCTTCCTGGCTCCATGTCAGACTAACAGTGGATCACATTTCCACTGGGAAATACCTGTAAAGCCATTCTGGTCCATCAGGACTTGGTTCCTGTGTGCATTGTGAGGGCAGTTCAGCAGGGAAGGAAAGCTTCATGATGTGGTTGGTGAGATCTGCTGGAACTCAACCAAACTGAGCTGATATGGACCATCAGAGGTTCTGCTGGTTCTTAGTGGGATCAGCAGGAACATTAAATCTTTACAACTATTTAGTTGTAAAGATTTACTATTTATATCACTTCATGGACCTTTGGTTGTCTCTGTGTGGACAGATACAATGTGAGCTCACTGGCTTCCAAGGATCTACAGGATCTTTTAAAATCCCCCCAATATCCAGTAGAGGATCCCACATGGACACACCCACATATTTCAGACCTCCTCCATGTCCACATCACCTCAGATCTATCATCAGAACCTGATGGATGTCCCACACTGTCCTGAAGACCTGTGTGGACAGAGCCTTCTTCCACTGTCCCCAAGCTCTGGGAAACTGTCTCCACCAGCATCGATCTGCTGACAGTTTGAAGTCCAAGTTCAAAATCAACGTTTTAAAATGGTTACTGGATTATTCTGGTGTTACTGATATTCATCATGTAGATAATTTTCCTCTTCCTCACTTTGAATTGTGTTTGTGTGATGATATGTTTTACTATATTAAGGACTTTTAATCTGAAACTCTGGTGATTTCCTCTGTGAAAACTGCTGGATGAATATTTCCTGACTTCCTAATTGTTCCTGGTTCCTCCACAGAGTGGACCAGCAGAGCTCAGAGGTTCCCAGTGGTCCATCTGTCCAGCAGCATCAAACAGAGCTGGACTCCATATTTATGGTCTGTATATGAACAATACTTTTTATGGTTTTGTTCAAATCTCATGCTGCACTTTGTAGACCAGAGGACTGTCAGTCTGTCCAACATCCATCTGGTGTTTGGCTCCATGATTTCAGTCCCATGTGTCATATATTATTCTGTTCCAGCTGCTGGAGGAAAACATTGTCACTTTTGTGAAGAAAGAACTGAAGAAGATCCAGAAAGTTCTGAGTCCAGATGACCCAGAACATTCAGAGAGTCAGAGAGATGATGAGGTGTTGGAAGGTAATGATGAAGAGCAGAGGAGGAGCAGCAGAGAGGCAGTGATGAAGATCACACTGAACTTCCTGAGGATGATGAAGCAGGAGGAGCTGGCTGACCGTCTGCAGAGCAGTAAGAGGATTATGCAAAGATTTGAATTGATAGATAAATTACACATTTGCTGAGTGATGTAATCAAATTCAAAAGATGATTTTCTTTCATATCTTTTTTATTGTGATAATTTAGGACATTTTGCTGCATTTGTCAACATCAACTTAAATCTGGTCTGAAGAAGAAGTTCCAGTCTGTGTTTGAGGGGATTGCTAAAGCAGGAAGTCCAACCCTTCTGAACCAGATCTACACAGAGCTCTACATCACAGAGGGAGGGACTGGAGAGGTCAATGATGAACATGAGGTCAGACAGATTGAAACAGCATCCAGGAAACCACACAGACCAGAAACAACAATCAGACAAGAAGACATCTTTAAAGTCCCACCTGGAAGAGATCAACCAATCAGAACAGTGATGACAAAGGGAGTGGCTGGCATTGGGAAAACAGTCCTAACACAGAAGTTCACTCTGGACTGGGCTGAAGACAAAGCCCACCAGAACATCCAGTTCATATTTCCATTCACCTTCAGAGAGCTGAATGTGCTGAAAGAGAAAAAAGTTCAGCTTGGTGGAACTTGTTCATCATTTCTTTAGTGAAACCAAAGAAATCTGCAGCTTTGAACACTTCCAGGTTCTGTTCATCTTTGATGGCTTGGATGAGAGTCGACTTCCACTGGACTTCCACAACAAGGAGATCCTGACTGATGCTACAGAGTCCACCTCAGTGGATGTTCTGCTGACAAACCTCATCAGGGGGAAACTGCTTCCCTCTGCTCTCCTCTGGATAACCACACGACCTGCAGCAGCCAATCAGATCCCTCCTCAGTGTGTTGGCATGGTGACAGAGGTCAGAGGGTTCAATGACCCTCAGAAGGAGGAGTACTTCAGGAAGAGATTCAGAGATAAGAAACAGGCCAGCAGGATCATCTCCCACATGAAGACATCACGAAGCCTCCACATCATGTGCCACATCCCAGTCTTCTGCTGGATCACTGCTACAGTTCTGGAGGATGTGTTGGAGACCAGAGAGGGAGGAGAGCTGCCCAGAACCCTGACTGAGATGTACATCCACTTCCTGGTGGTTCAGACCAAAGTGAAGAAGGTCAAGTATGATGGAGGAGCTGAAACAGATCCACACTGGAGTCCAGAGAGCAGGAAGATGATTGAGTCTCTGGGAAAACTGGCTTTTGATCAGCTGCAGAAAGGAAACCTGATCTTCTATGAATCAGACCTGACAGAGTGTGGCATCGATATCAGAGCAGCCTCAGTGTACTCAGGAGTGTTCACACAGATCTTTAAAGAGGAGAGAGGTCTGTACCAGGACAAGGTGTTCTGCTTCGTCCATCTGAGTGTTCAGGAGTTTTTGGCTGCTCTTCATGTTCATCGGACCTTCATTAACTCTGGAGTCAACCTGATGGAAGAAAAACAAACATCTGAGAGCCTTTCATTATCTAGAGACTCTAAACTAAATTCTCTCCATCAGAGAGCTGTTGACCAGGCCTTACAGAGTCCAAATGGACACCTGGACTTGTTCCTTCGCTTCCTCCTGGGACTTTCACTGCAGACCAATCAGAGACTCCTACAAGGTCTGCTGACACAGACAGGAAGTAGCTCACAGACCAATCATGAAACAGTTCAGTACATCAAGGAGAAGATCAATGAGAATGTGTCTGCAGAGAAAAGCATCAATCTGTTCCCTGTCTGAATGAACTGAATGATCGTTCTCTAGTGGAGGAGATCCAACAGTCTCTGAGTTCAGGAAGTCTCTCCACAGATAAACTGTCTCTGCTCAGTGGTCAGCTCTGGGTTTCATCTTAGTGTCATCAGGAAAAGATCTGATGATGTGTTTGACCTGAAGAAATACTCTGCTTCAGAGGAGGTTCTTCTGAGGCTGCTGCCAGTGGTTAAAGCCTCCAACAAAGCTCTGTAAGGACACATTGTCACTGTTTTATTTTTAATAAAAATATGCTCATTATGAGGTAAATATTCATGTTTTAATTTATGTTTTGGTGCATCGTTTCTTCAAAGTGTACCATTGGGGGTTGTGCAAAAAAGAAACTGACTTCCTGCAGCAGCTCAACATAGTGTTACATATTAAAGCATCAAAGCTCTTACACTGCTAAAGTTGAAATTGGATTAATATTGTTAATTGTGAAATTTTATGATGCTCTTTCCAGCCTCTTTGTTACCTGTAGTTCAGTCCTTTAAGGCTGGAGGTTGAAAAACTATAGAATGAAGAAGTTCACAACAAATGCAAAGGTTGTGTAAAATAAGACAGTTTCCTTCTCTGTCCAATAAAAACATTGATGATCTGAAAGAACATAAATTTTCAGGAATTATTTAGTAACATATTTTCCTCCCTGTCTCCTCAGACTGAGTGTCTGTAACCTCTCAGAGAGAAGCTGTGAAGCTCTGTCCTCAGTTCTCAGCTCCCAGTCCTCCAGTCTCAGAGAACTGGACCTGAGTAACAACAACCTGCAGGATTCAGGAGTGAAGCTTCTCTCTGCTGGACTGAAGAGTCCAAACTGCAACCTGGAAACTCTCAGGTAACTCTGGGCTCTTGACGAATTGTTGCATCTTAGGGGCAAAAAGAAACATAATTACAGATCCATCCATCCATCAGTTCAGTCCTTGGTTTCTACCTCATATTCTCATTTTCTCATGTGATGAATTGTGTGTCTGCAGCTTATCAGGCTGTTTGGTCTCAGAGGAAGGCTGTGCTTCTCTGGCCTCAGCTCTGACCTCCAACCCCCCCATCTGAAAGAGTTGGACCTGAGCTACAATCATCCAGGAGACTCAGGAGTGAAGCTGCTGTCGGCTGGACTGAAGGATCCACACTGGAGACTGGAAGCTCTCAGGTATGGAGGAACCTGCTGCAGGAGCAGAGAAGGTCTGATAGAGGAGGAAGAGGGACAAATGTCTTTAGTCAGTCTGCTGGGAAACATTTAGTTTGAAGCTGAATGTTTAATTTGATGATTAAATATTTAGACGCCTCATCTGGAGGCAGAGATCATCACCCAATTTTCTGGAATATTCTCCAGACTAAGAACGGATCACAAGGAAAATTAAAGAGTGGATGGTTTAAATAGTTTAATAGGGACTCTGACTAAATTAATAAAAAGTTCAGTTAGATTTCCATGATGATCCACTGATGGCAGAAGACTTTAAACAATATTTGATGGAGCTTCAGACCAATCAGCCCCAAGAAGCAAAGATGAGAAGAAAAGTAACTCCATGTTGGTCAGATGGATGTTTAAAGTTCTGGGAGAGAAAAATAAAAAACTTTAGATTTTAAACAAAACTCACAACTTTCAGAATTTAATAAAATATAAATTACATAAAAAGTGAAGAAACAATTCATGAGGCAAAGAAAGAAAGTGAGAAATTTTAACAGTTTCATCCATTTAGTAGTTTGATCTCCACCAGGGGGCGACATCTGGAAAATGATCAAAGAATGAAAGGAATCAGGAGAGAATGGAAATCCCTTGTTTTCTAGAGGAAATGAAGAATTGCAGTGAATGATGGTGAAAAAGTAGAATTGTGCTCTGTTGACTGGTAGAAATTAAAAACAATAATAAAACCTTTTAGACAGATCCAAGAAAAGACTAATGTGTTCAGGTTTCCAGTCGTTGGAAAAACTTTTGGGAATGTTCAATAAAGTTTGGGAAAAATTCCCAACGTGTTGGAAAACCAGGAAATATCCATCCGACCAATCAGATTCCAGATCCACAGCTCTGACGTCACATTTAGGATCAATAATGGAATGGTAATAAGAGAAAGAATCAGATTTTATTGATAAAGTAGAGGGATGATATCAGCCCATCAGATGGTTTAGAAGAGGGAGAGGAAGCATCATGGGACTGCAGAGGTCCTTCACCTGATCCTGTTGTTGGACAAGAACTTTGTTCCTGAACTTAAGGACAGTTTTCATGTTTCTGTACGTAAGTAGATTTAATCCTGGGAACTTTTACTCCACTACATTTTACTACATTTTACTACTTTACTTCACTACATTTCTATAAATTGTTGTGTTACAAGTTACATCCAAGTCGCTTTGAGCTTTTTGATTTGTTGGTTAGTTTGAAAGTAATCAATGATTCTGGTGCCTTTGCCTCCCTGATATCATGAACTGATAACTTTCAAAAATTCACATCAAATCTGAAAAACATGTGGAGGCAAGTTAAGCTGCTAAACTCTGAGTTCTGGATGTGATTTTCGGGTAAGATGTGCCTTCACACGTCTCATTCATGTTTTGCTACACTAGTAAACGTATGAACTTTTATCAGTCTATTCCAGGGGTTGGCAATTCCAGGCCTCGAGGGCCTCAAGGTCTCCTGAAACCTTTAGATGTGTTTCTACTTCAACACACCTGAGTGAAATAATGAGGTCATTAGCAGGACTCTGCAGAACTTCTGCATTTAGGAGGTGGTTCAGGTATTTGATGCAGGTGTGTTGGACCAGGGAGAAACCTAAGAGTTGCAGGACACCGTCCCTCGAGGACCGGGAATGCCCACCCCTGGTCTTTACTCTTTCTGAACTTATAGGCCAGGGGTGGGCACTCCTGGTCCTCGAGGGCCGGTGTCCTGCAACTCTTAGTTGTCTCCCTGATCCAACACACCTGAATCCAATAGCTGAATCACCTCCTAAATGCAATCAAGTTCTCCAGAGACCTGCTAATGACCTCATTATTTGACTCAGTGTGTTGAAGTAGAGATACATCTAAAAGTTGAAGGAGACCGGCCCTCGAGGACCTGGAGTGCCCACCCCTGTTATAGGCCCTATTCACATGTGCCACTCAGGCTGCGTTCCAAACTCTGTTATTCTTACATCAATTTGATACATTAGTTCCCCAATGTCGGTCCTCAGGGCCGGCATCCTGCATGTTTTAGTTTTCTCCCTGATTTAACGCGCCTGGATAATTTGATGGCTCGTTAGACGCCTAAGAAGAACATTGACATGCTGAAAAGCTTGATACTACCAGCAGGGAGGGAACTAAAACGTGCAGGATGCCGGCCCTCGAGGACCAACTTTGGGGACGCCTGCATTAGGGGCTTCCGCATTTCCCATACATATGTCCTGGGTCACTTTTTAGCTGTTAAAACGGTTTAATCTGTTGTTTAAGGTCCGTAACCTGGTTTTCTGAGCCGCCTTCAAACGCAACATGAACGCTGAGATGCTCGCGCGGGTCGTTTTACGGGAGTAGGGGGCAGTAAGGTTTATGTGTTTAGGGTCACTCCCGTGTCAGGGAGTGATCTCGCAGAAATGGATGAGGGTTGTGATGGCGGGGAAAATGAAGGAACATGGAATATTCAAAAGCTAAAAACAAACGCAGAAAATCGAGACAATAAACAGAATCGTCTCTTTCTGAGGCAGAAGGAGAAACAGTTGTGATGACAGACTTTAAAATAGTCTAGAAAACGGTCAACGAGGGTGTGTCCTTTGGTACGTGGAATCTAATAAAATTACTATAGAAATTACCTCACTGGTTGGAAAAGTGAAACATGTTAAAGTGATGAGAGATGGATCTTTATTGATCATTTGTAATGATGTTAAACAAAAAGAAAGGGCACTCAATTGGAAACTTCTCATCAAAGAGGTCAAAGGTCACATGTGGGGTACCCCAAGGTTCAGTCCTAGGACCCCTCTTATTCAATATTTATATTTCCCACTAGCTCAGGTTATAACAGGAAATAATATTAGCTACCATAACTATGCGGATGACACACAGCTCTACATTATGATGTCACCAGGTGACCTTTGACCCCATCCAATCACTGAATAAATGCTTATAGCAGATAAATGTGTGGATGTGCCAAAACTTTCTCCAACTGAACAAAAATAAAACTGAAGTCATTATTTTTGGACCTAAAGAGGAACAATCTAGAGCTATAGATCTAGAGTTATAGATCTAGAGCTATAGATCTAGAGTCAATGCACAGCTTCAGTTATTACAACTAAAAACTAGCGATCAGGCCCGAAACCTGGGAGTAGTGATGGACTCGGACTTGAACCTCCAGAGCCACATAAAGACAGTAACAAAATCAGCCTTCTATCACCTGAAGAACATCTCCAGGATTAGAGGACTAATGTCTCAGCCAGATCTAGAGAAACTCATTCATGCGTTTATCTTTAGTCGCATTGATTATTGCAACAGCATCTTCACAGGCCTGTCCAACAAATCAATCAAACAGCTGCAGCTGATCCAGAAGCTGCTGCTCCTGCTCTCACTAGAACCAGGAAGATAGAGACATAACAGCAGTTTTAAAGTCCCTCCACTGGCTCCTGTAGCTCAAAGAATAGATTTTAAAATACTGTTGTTAGTTTATAAATCACTGAACGGTTTAGCACCACAATACATCAAAGATCTGCTGTTGTTGTATCAACCTTCCAGACTCTCAGGTTCTGGTTCTGGTTCTGCTGCTCTGCATCCAGAACCAGAACCAGAGAGGAGAAGCAGCTTTCAGCATCTATGCACCAAAAATCTGGAACAAACTTCCAGAAAATTGTAAAACAGCTGAAACCCTGACTTCCTTTAAATCTTAACTAAAAACAGACCTGTTTAGAGTTTATTTGAAATGTAATATGTATGGATTCGTATTTGTGGATATTTATTTATTTATTTATTTATTTCTTCCTGTTGTGGGCAACGGGGCCCGGCGAATACCCGTGGTTAAACGGACGGCGGAGTCTGGTGGTAACAGGCGCTTAAATTCCGTGACAAAAAGAAGGAAAGGAAAAAAAGAAGAAAAAAAAAACACTTGTATTTTATTCTATGTTGCATGACTTTGTGTTTTGTGTTTATGATGTAAAGCACTTTGAAATGCCTTGTAGCTGAAATGTGCTATACACATAAAATTTAATTGATTGATTGATTGAATATTAAAAAAGTCTTAGGTGAGGATATAAGAGGGAGAATGTTGGATAACAGGAAATGTGCATATGGCGTAATTTCAGGTATGTCTCCTGATCTGCCAGTTGATGACATTAAATCTGTCAGGAGGGAAAGTAGTTGAAGTCAGATGGTTGAAAAGGAACCAGGATGGAGAAAGGAGTGATAGCTTTTCTGTCATGATAAAGTTTGAAGAGAAAACTACCAGACAAAGTATTTGTGGGATATATGAGTTATGATGTTGGACCATTTATTCCTCCGCCTCTACAGTGTTTTAAATGTCAAAATTTGGACATGTTGCAGTGGCATGCAAGGGGAAACAGAAGTGTGGGAGATGTGCTGGGGATCATGAGTATGAGAAATGTGAGGAGGGAGTCCTTTAAAATGTTGTAATTGTGGAGGTGAACATAGTTCAGGTTTCAGGACATCCCCTGTCTACTAGAGCTCCCCCTGTACAAGAGCTGCAGAAGTACAGAAAATTAAAATTACTAATGGGATCCCTTCTGTAGAAGCGGCTGAAAAAGTGCCTGTCCAACCAATGATGCATCCAAAGAAAGTGATGGGGTAGAAGAAGGAAGTTTTAATTGTGGAATGCAATAAGATTAAAGTTGACACTATTCATGAGGAAAGAGGATTTAGTTTTATTCATGGTGGAGGTTATAAATTGCACTGCTCAAACACAAAGGAAAACAGAAAAAATTCAATCATTGTGAAGGCAGCACAAAAGTATCTTAATGTTAAGAATGCTAGCTGGGAGTCAAATAAGGAAAAACTGAATGAGACACAATCTTCTTTATTTTCATCATGCAGTGGTGGCCCTTCTTCTTCATGTTAGTTATATACCATGGAATGCAAGAAGTCTCATTAGTAATGGTCTGGAGTTCAAGAAATACATTTCTGATTTGATCATTAAACCTCATTTGATCTGCATTCAAGAAACTTGGCTTAAGCCCCAATTAGAGTTTGTAATCCCTGGATATTCAACAATTAGACATGATAGAAAGGAAAGACCAGGTGGGGAGTGAAAACTTTTGTGCAAGATGGTAAAAGTTATAAAGTGGAATCAATAGGACAGAAATATGATCATTTTTTTCCAGATCTTAATAACTATCAGATTTCAGTGATTAATTTGTATAATTCTAGCAAGAAGTTGAACATTCAAGATCTTAATGAAGTAAATGATCAGAATAAAGGAACGACTGTATGGTGTGGTGATTTTAATTCACATAATAGTTTATGGGTCTAAATACAGATTCAAATGGGTTAGTTATTGAAGAGTTTCTTGAATCATATTCACTGGTTTGTGTCAATGATGGATGTTCTACTAGATATGATTGTAATAGGAATTTAGAAAGTGTGTTAGATCTAACATTGGTGCAAAGGGAATAGCAGGAATTACATGTTGGGAGTGCTGAGTGATTCTCCTATGGGATCATTTTCCAATTATAATGACGGTTGGTTCTAAAGCAGTTAAAGAACAGGAAGTAATGATCCTAGATGGAGATTAAGTCAGGATAACTGGGATTTATTTCAATATTTTGTTAAAAAACAGTTTGAAAAATTAGATGAAAACTTGTTTTTTGATGTGTAATTATGTAATTCAAAGATTGTCTGTTATTATTAATGCAGCAGAAACTGCCATTTCTAAAACAGGGGGAAGAAGAAATAAAAATCTACTCAATGGTGGAATGAGCAATGTAGTATTGCTATAAAGGGAAGAAATAAAGCTTTTAAATTGATGGCATACTTTTGAAGCTTTAATTCAATATAAGAAAACTCAGGCTATAGTTAGAAAGACAATAAGGTGCTAAGAAGGCTTGTTGGAGGCAATATTGTAATTCTATTGGAAGAGAAACTAAGTTAGCTGAGATATGGAGAGTTATTAAGAAAATGAATGGTGTTAAGAAAAATTTCCTTACCTGAACTAGAATTCAATGGGAAATTGCTGTTAGTAATATAGAAAAGTTAGTTTTAGCAGAAACGTTGATTAAAGTACATAGTTCAGAAAATCTGTCTGAAGATATAAAGAGTTATAAAGAGAAGATTTTAGCTGAAAATCCAGGAGTCACTAATAAGAAAATCATCTCAAATCAAGAGCTGGATTTGCCTTTTACTATGAATGAGCTGAAAAAAGCTAAACAGTCAACACCAGTAAAAGATGGACTTTGTTATATAATGCTTAAACATTTAAATGAAATGTCGCTTACTGTTATTTTAAAATGTTTTAATCTGATTTGGGAGACAGGAATAATTCCTGCTGCATGGAAACAGTCAGTTATAATTCCTGTGTTGAAACCAGGTAAAAATCCTACAGACTCTTCAAACTATAGACCTTTAGCTCTTACATCTCAATCTGGGAAAATAATGGAGAGGATAGTAACAGAAAGGCCATCATATTTTCTGGAAGTAAAAATGTATTCTGTCCATATCAAAGTGGTTTTCGTGCAGGAAGAAATACGATGGATGCGAAACTGTGCCTGGAGTCAGAAGTAAGGAAACAAATAAAGAAATGGTGATAGCTGTGTTCTCTGATATAGAAAAGGCATATGATATGTTATGGAAAGAGGATTATTGATTAAACCAGAAAAACTTGGTTTTAGGGGAAGGTTTATAACTGTTTTAGATTTTCTGTTTGGTAGAGAAATGGAAGTTAGAGTTGCTTTTTCCTCTAGATACACAAACTACCACACAAGGTCGTGTGTGTTGTCCAATTCTCTTTAATATTATGGTAAATGATATTTTTGATGAGATAGATATAAGTATAGGGAAATCTTTATTTGCTGATGATGGGGCTCTCTGGGTGCATCATCTCATATATTTACAGAAAAAGATGCAGGAGGCCATTTTGAAAGTTGGGCCAATAAATGGGGATTTAGGATGTCAGTGTAAAGTCTCAAGTGATGTTTTTATAGAAGAGGGTTAATTTAAAACTCTATAATCAGAAGCTTGATCAAGTGAATAAAGGGAGATTTTTAGGTGTCATCTTTGATGAAAAATTAACCTGGAGACAGTAAATAGAATTAGTTCAAAATAAATGTAAAAAGTGAATAATTTGTTGTGTTTCTGGACAGGAATGTGGAGCTTCAAGAAGTGGCTGTTGGAGTTTATCAGGCTCTCATGAGATCTTCCTTAGATTATGGAGGTGTAGCATATATAGCAGCTGCTGACAGTCAGTGGAGAAAACTTGATAGCGAACAAACACAAGGGTTACGGACATGTTGTGGAGCTTTCAGATCATCTCCTTTAGCTGCTTTGCAAGTTGAAACTGGTGAGCTTCCTTTAAGATGAAGAAGACTGAAGCTGATGAATGTGTATTGGGTAAATCTACAGGGACATAATGACCATCATCCAACTGAGGCTGAGCTGCAGGACTGTTGGGAACATCATGAATCTGATTGTAATAGCTTTGGATGGATTGGGGAATTAAAAGCTCCCAGTTTCAGTCTGAACCAGTTCCAGTTTAGTTTTACGGTTCCACAGTCACCAATTCCACCTCAGTTATTTATCACAGCACAAGTTGATCTGCATGGAGCGCAGCGTCTCCTGCCATGAATGTCCCAGTAACGTTAAACTGGATTAATGTCAATAATCTCATATTTACAGTCATATTCAATAAATTAGAATATGGTTCCCATGAGGCTCGTTTGTCAGGTTTTAAAACAACTTCAGCAGATATTAAACATATTTTTCATTAGACCCACATTTCTGCATTAATAGTTTTTATTGATCTGTAATCTGATCAGAAATGTTTTCATGAGCTGTAAGCAACAAATCATCATCATTAACAAATAAAAGCTTTAAAACAGTTTGTGGGGAATTAATCTGTATGATGTTTAACTTGTGAGCCGAGTTACTGAAATACTTTTCATAAATATTGTAATTTATTGAAAATGACTGAAGTTAAGGATGTTAGAGAGACGCAGGTCATCCTGAAATTCTGATGCATAGAATCACAAATTTAATCTAAACTGTGACAGAGAGAAAACACAATAAAACATGATTTATCTGCAATTTGTTCATTACTGATTGTTCCTGTCTCAGTGGAGGACAATGTGTGTCTGAGAGACATGTAATGTCCATGTTTGCTGCTGAAAGAGACTGATGGTCTGACCCCCCTCCTCCTTTCAGGGTGGAGCCTGCTGGAGGCCGATTCTTGACTCCAGGTCTGAGGAAATGTAAGTGTGTTTTTCATCTGATTCATGACAACAAAGCAGCTCACATTCAACCATCTTCAAACTGTCACATCACTCATTCAGGAGTCAAAGTGTCAATAAATGATCAATAACTGCAGCTGGATTGTGTTTGTTCTCCATCAGATTCCTGTCAACTCACCATCGACACAAACACAGTGAACAGAAAACTCAAACTGTCTGAAGACAACAGGAAGGTGACATTTGTGGAGCAGCTTCAGTCATATCCTGATCATCCAGACAGATTTGATTATCCTCAGCTGCTGTGTAGAACTGGTCTGACTGGTCGCTGTTACTGGGAGGTTGAGTGGAGAGGATGTTGATATATCAGTGAGTTACAGAAGAATCAGGAGGAAAGGAAACAGTAAGACTGTTGGTTTGGATATAATGATCATTCCTGGAGGCTGAGATGCTCTGATGATGATGGTTTCTCTGTCAGACACAATAACATAGAAACTCGTCTCTCTCCTCCTCTGACTCTCACAGAGTAGCAGTGTATGTGGACTGTCCTGCTGGCATTCTGTCCTTCTACAGAGTCTCCTCTGACTCACTGATCCTCCTCCACACCTTCAACACCACATTCACTGAACCTCTGATTCCTGGATTTGGGTTCTGGTTCAGTTCTGGTTCTTCAGTGTTTCTGAGCTGATTTGAGTCTAAAGAGTCTAAAGTTTTTCCTCCTGTCAGAGAAACTCTCTCACTGTTGAACAGATAGTTCAGTCTCTACAATCTATTTCTTGGGAAACTCCAACAAGATTCCTTGGAAATTTTTCTTCTTCCAGTCCTTTAAAGATGGAAGCTGGGATTATTCCAGGATTATTCAGGATTATTCCAGGATCCTCATGTTTTTCTCTTTGTTTCCAGTCAAAGCTTCACACTGAATATCAAGATGTTGTTTCTCTTTTTTTTTCTTTTCATTCATCAGATTTCATTGAAATATTGATCAGTTTTTCTCAATCTGATCAGTTTCTGTTTCTATCGGCTCCTATTTTTCTCAACATGTCAGATTTGAATATTAAATCTTCCTTTTGTAAATTTGCTGCAGTTTTTCTTCGTGTTTTAAATAAAAACATTTTTCTTCTGCATTTGGTTCATTTGCTGCTCATTCTGTTCTTTTCCTGTTTTAATTTAAATATTTGCATTAAAATGATTTTTTCATCAACTCTGCCTTTCAGAAAGTCCTAGTTAAAGTAAAACATTCCCATCCCATGAAGGTCAGAGGTCAATGCTTTGAAGCATAAAGTGGGAAAATCTTAATATTTTCTGTTTCATTCAGAACTTCTACCTGAAACTCAGAACCTGCAGAACATTTTTCTCTTTGGAGAAAAAATCCAAAAGCCAATCAGAACCAGCGTTATAAATAATGTCTCCCTGTCGGATCACTTTGCTGTTATCTTTGAAGGTTCTTTATTCTTTGACCCACTTGGACAAACAGCTGCTGTCACAAAACGTTCTTTCACAGAAAACAGCAGAAACATTTAATCAAATCTACTCTTCCTCCTCACCCTTAAGCTGTAATGATGTAGATCAGTTGTTAGATGATTTTCAGTCTATAGTTTCATATATCATTGATTCTATTGCTCCAATTAAAGTAAAAGTTGTGTCTGGTAGGAAGAAATCTCCATGGAGAAAAGCACAAACAGTTCGGTCTGCAAGACAACAGAGCAGAACAAAAATGGAGCAAAACTCAACTTCACGTTCATAATGACATCTATAAAGAAAGACTACGTAACTATCACTCAACACTAAAACATGCAAGGGAGGCTTTCTTTGCAGATGTCATAAACAAAAACATTAATAATGATCGAACTTTATTTGCAACAGTTGACAGGCTCACAAACCCTCCTGTGACGTTTCCACCTGAACTCCAATCTAATGCTGATGGAACAAGTTTTCCAGCTTCTTTTCAGAGAAAATTAAAAAATCAGAGGATTAATCTGCACATCAACTCTAAAGCCAGAACCATTGCTGGACCCACAAATCAATCAAACAGCTGCAGCTGATCCAGAAGCTGCTGCTCCTGTTCTCACTAGAACCAGAAAGATAGAGACATAACAGCAGTTTTAAAGTCCCTCCACTGGCTCCCTGTAGCTCAAAGAATAGATTTTAAAATCCTGTTGTTAGTTTATAAATCACTGAACGGTTTAGCACCACAATACATCAAAGATCTGCTGTTGTTGTATCAACCTTCCAGACTCTCAGGTTCTGGTTCTGGTTCTGCTCTGCATCCCCAGAACCAGAACCAAGAGAGGAGAAGCAGCTTTCAGCATCTATGCTGAAAGCATAGATGCTGTTTGTTGCATTATTCAACAAACAGCAGAAACCCTGACTTCCTTTAAATCTCAACTAAAAACACACCTGTTTAGAACTTTATTTAAAATGTAATATGTAACAATGTATTGTTTATTATATGTTGCATGACTTTGTGTTCTTGTGTTTATGATGTAAAGCACTTTGAAATGCCTTGCTGCTGAAATGTGCTATACAAATAAAATTTGATTTGATTTGATTAGGCAGCTAGCTAACCAAAACAAGCATTAATCAGCTAGCTAACCAAAACAAGCATTAATCAGCTAGCTAACCAAAACAAGCATTAATCAACTAGCTAACCAAAACAAGCATTAATCAACTAGCTAACCAAAACAAGCATTAACAGCTAGCTAACCAGAACCTGCATTATGCAGCTAGCTAACCAGATCAAGCATTAATCAGCTAGCTAACCAGAACATTTATTACACAGCTGTCTAACAACAACCAGCATTAATCAGCTAGCTAAATGGAACCTGCGTTAATCAGCTAGCAAACCAGAACCAGCGTTAATCAGCTAGCTAACCAGAACGTGCATTATTCAACTAGCTAACCAGAACCTGCATTATGCAGCTAGCTAACCAGAACCAGCATTAATCAGCTAGCTAAAAGGAACCAGCATTAATAATCTAGCTCACCAGCACCAGCATTCATCACCTGGCTAACGAGAATTTGCATTATTCAGCAAGATAACCAGAACCAGCGTTAACCAGCTAGCTAACCAGAAAAAGCTTTAATCATTTAACTAACCAGAACCTGTATTATTCAGCTAGCTAACCAATACCAGCTTTAATCAGCTAGCTAAAGCACCTGCATTCATCACCTAGCTAACCAGAACCAACCATAATCAGCTAGCTAACCAGAACCAGCTTTAATCAGCTAGCTAACAGCACCTGCATTCGTCACCTAGCTAACCAGAACCAACCATAATCAGCTAGTTAACCAGAACCAGCGTTAATCAGCTAGCTAACCAGAACCTGCATTATTCACCTTGCTAACCAGAACCGGCATTATGCAGCTAGCTAACCAGATCAAGCATTCATCATCTAGCTAACCAGAATCGGCGTTAATCAGCTAGCTAACTATAATCTGCATTATTCATCTTGCTAACCATAATCTGCATTATTCAGCTAGCTAACGAGAACCTGCATTAATCAGCTAGCTAAATGGAACCTGCATTAATAAGCTAGCTAACCAGAACCAGCTTTAATCATGTAGCTAACCAATACCTGCATTAATCATCTTGCTAACCATAATCTGCATTATTCAGCTAGCTAACCAGAACCATCGTTAATCACCTAGCTAACCAGAACCAACCATAATCAGCTAGCTAACCAGAACCAGCGTTAATCAGCTAACTAACCAGAACCTGCATTATTCAGCTAGCTAACAGCACCTGCATTCATCACCTAGCTAACCAGAACCTGCATTATGCAGCTAGCTAACCAGATCAAGCATTAATCAGCTAGCTAACCAGAACCAGCGTTCATCACCTAGCTAACCAGAACCCTGCATTCATCACCTAGCTAACCAGAACCTGCATTATTCAACCAGCTAACCAGAACCAGCGTTCATCACCTAGCTAACCAGAACCAGCGTTAATCAGCTAGCTAACAGCACCTGCATTCATCACCTAGCTAACCAGAACCTGCATTATGCAGCTAGCTAACCAGATCAAGCATTAATCAGCTAGCTAACCAGATCAAGCATTCATGATCTAGCTAACCAGAATCGGCGTTAATCAGCTAGCTAACCAGATCAAGCATTCATGATCTAGCTAACCAGAATCGCGTTAATCAGCTAGCTAACCACAACCAGCATTATTCAGCTGGCTAACCAGAACCATCATTAATCAGCTAGCTAACCATAATCGCATTATTCATCTAGCTAACCAGAACCTGCATAAATCAGCTAGCTAACTGGAACCTGCGTTAATAAGCTAGCTAACCAGAATCAGCGTTTATCCGCTAGCTAAACGGAACCAGCATTAATAATGTAGCTCAGCACCTGCATTCATCACCTAGCTAACTAGAATTTGCATTATTCAGCAAGATAACCAGAACCAGCGTTAACCAGCTATCTAACAGAAAAGCTTAATCATTTAACTAACCAGAACCTGTATTATCCAGCTAGCTAACCAGAACCAGCTTTAATCAGCTAGCTAACAGCACCTGCATTCATCACCTAGCTAACCAGAACCAACCATAATCAGCTAGTAACCAGAACCAGCGTTAATCAGCTAGCTAACCAGAACCTGCATTATTCACCTTGCTAACCAGAACCGGCATTATGCAGCTAGCTAACCAGATCAAGCATTCATCATCTAGCTAACCAGAATCGGCGTTAATCAGCTAGCTAACTATAATCTGCATTATTCATCTTGCTAACCATAATCTGCATTATTCAGCTAGCTAACGAGAACCTGCATTAATCAGCTAGCTAAATGGAACCTGCGTTAATAAGCCAGCTAACCAGAACCAGCTTTAATCATGTAGCTAACCAATACCTGCATTAATCATCTTGCTAACCATAATCATTATTCAGCTAGCTAACCAGAACCATCGTTAATCACCTAGCTAACCAGAACCAACCATAATCAGCTAGCTAACCAGAACCAGCGTTAATCAGCTAACTAACCAGAACCTGCATTATTCAGCTAGCTAACAGCACCTGCATTCATCACCTAGCTAACCAGAACCTGCATTATGCAGCTAGCTAACCAGATCAAGCATTAATCAGCTAGCTAACCAGAACCAGCGTTCATCACCTAGCTAACCAGAACCTGCATTCATCACCTAGCTAACCAGAACCTGCATTATTCAACCAGCTAACCAGAACCAGCGTTCATCACCTAGCTAACCAGAACCTGCGTTAATCAGCTAGCTAACAGCACCTGCATTCATCACCTAGCTAACCAGAACCTGCATTATGCAGCTAGCTAACCAGAACCTGCATTCATCACCTAGCTAACCAGAACCTGCA